GCGCAGAAGTAAGGGTGACAATACTGAGACCCACCCACCACACACACACACACACACACACACACACACACACACAATAACCTTGAGACACCCTCCCCAACCTTCTTTTGGGTAGGGAGCCCCATTTTGAGAAATGCTGGTCTCCCCATTAAATCTGTAGAGCATAGGGTGGTTAAAAGTACACAAAAGACCAGATTTCACAGTCCGTGACGCATTTTTCATGGCTGTGAATTTGGTAGGGCCCTACTGATAGTGTTGCTGAGGACTTCAGGTCACATAAGTGTGCCACATAATCATACATCCATCCCTTTGGGCCCCAGAAGAACAGGAACATCAAGAGGACTTGGTCACAATTAGTTAGGAATTTAAGCAAACCTCTTGCAAAATTATTTTAATCTTCCCACACAATTAACCTTGAAACGCCATAGCAATCCAGAGACCTGAGTGCATTCTACCTTTCTCATGAGTGCCACTCTTTGTGGAAATTCTGGCTTTAATCAAGAGGTTTCATTTCCTTAATCTGTAAGGGCATGTATTTACCATGAAATCCAAACACTGGATACGTTTTTAAAAATTGGCCATATGGAATTAGAGTTTTCTCCTGGCTCATTAAGAATACTTGTGAAATTTTTGGCTGCATGCCTTCACTTTGTTTTATTTTTATTCTTTGGTATACTTGGTAGAAAAACATAAGATTGGGATGAAAATAAAGCTGTTTTAATAGTATAGAAGAACACAATACTATGTAGTATTTTGTTAGTATAATATGAAAATACGTTCAGTGTGTACCGGAGCACTTCGTATATGTTGTATCAGCCTCACTATATTTTTAAATTTTGTGTCCAGTGCATAACTTTTGTTTTTATTTTTATGATTTTAGAAACCAAACCAAAAACAGATTTCACTTAAGTTTATTAAACTGGGCAATAGTTGGAAAATAGTTCAAGAAGCCACCTACTTGAATAGAAATATGAAATTACAGTATGACACCACCAAATTCACCTCTAAGTACACAGTCAGTTTATTACGTAGCGTGTTGGCTCTTTGTAGCCTGAGTGGTGTCTGAACGATAGATTGCAATTATTGCTTCTGTTTGTCCAGTAGGAGGAGTACTATTACTGCTGAAACTAAAGAAGAACTGAATGTAGGAAAGAAATGAAAACAGTGTTGACTTGTATGCAAGACCCTTGCAGGAAGCATCATGTAATTCAAATAAGACAGTGATCAAATTCCTCAGCTAGCTCTGATGATTTGCAAAAGATACAAGGCTCTGATCTTCCTAGTTTTGTATTTTCTTTAAATTATCTAATTTAATAAATCCATGATCTCTGGGAAAGATTTCAACCCCCAAAGTAGCAAGAAGAGAGGAATGAAAACCATCCTTCTTAGTAAACGCTTTCCAGGTTGACTTGTACTGGAGAAAAATATTTTTGTCTTAAAAGCCTCTCCTGCTGTTACTTCTTGTCTCCTCCACTCCACTTCCTGCAGTGTTTAGTGGTTCTAGAGTAGAGTATAGTAGTGGTATAGTAGGATTTGCCTGACATTTCAGCTTTCCAAGGTATAGCCTCCAAAGGGGAAAAACTGGAAGACATCGTTTACATAAAAGACAAATATTTTTTAGAAGTAAAAGACAAGATTCATGAGTCACACGTATGAGAAGGAGCATTGTTTTGTGGTTAGAAAGAAGTAATGGGCATTTGGAGACCTGGATTCTGTTCCCAGGTCTGCAACTGACTTCCTGTGTGATCTTAAGCAACTCTGTGGAGAATTATTATGTGGCAAGCTGCAGTGTAAATCTACAGCAGGGGTCAGCAACCTTTCAGAAGTGGTGTGCCGAGTCTTCATTTATTCACTCTAATTTAAGGTTTTGCGTGCCAGTAATACATTTTAATGTTTAAGGTCTCGTTCTCTAAGT